GAATATACAGATTTTGGCTTGGCACCGTAACTCAGTGAGTAGGGCGCCAGCCACACACACAGAGGCTGACAGGTTCAAACCCAGCCTGGGCCTGCTAAACAACAACTGCAACCCCAAAAAACAGCCAGGCGTTGTAGTGGGTGCCTATAATCCCAGTTACCCGAGAGGCTGAGGCAAGAGAATCGTTTAAGTCCAGGAGTTGGAGGTTGCTGTGAGCTGTGACACCACAGCACTCTATGACCACAGCACCTATGTCACTTGAGGGTGACACAGTGAGACTGTCTCAAAAACAAACAAATATACAGATGGCATGAAAAAATGCTCATCATCATTATCTAGTAAACAAACAAAAATTAGAACCACAATAAGGTATCACTATACACCTATCAGAATGGGAGGAAAAACGGGGTGGGGGTGGGGTGGGGGGGAGAAGGTTAAAAAAAGAAAAGGAAAAAGGAAAAGTAACAACACCAAATGTAGGTGAGAATGCAGAGAAATTGCAGCTAGCCATTGTTGTGGGATGTATATGTAACAATGAGGTCATTCAAGAAAACAGTCTGTCCATTTCTTGAAAGGCCAAGTATGTGACTACCATTTGACCCAGGATTAAACTTATGGGCATTTACCCTAGAGAAATGAAAACTTTTTTCAAAAACCTATATACCAGGCTCGGCACCTGGAGCACAGTGGTTATGGTGCCAGCCACATACACAGAGGCTGGCAGGTTCGAAACCAGCCTGGGCCAGCTAAACAACAATGACAACTACAACAAAAAAGCAGTCAGGCGTTGTGGTGGATGCCTATAGTGTCAGCTAATTGGGAGGCTGAGGCAAGAGAATCACTTAAGCCCAAGAGTTGGAGGTTGCTGTGAGCAGCAAGCCACAGTAGTCTGAGGGTGACATAGTGAGACTCTGTCTCAAAACAAACAAACAAACAAAAAACCAAAAAAAAAAAACAAAAACAAAAAAACTGCAGTCAACCCAGATATCCGTCAGCTATTGCACAGTTAAACAAACTGTGGTATATGGCTCGGCACCTGTGGCCCAAGTGGCTAAGGCGCCAGCCACATACACCTAAGGTAGCAAGTTCAAACCCAGCCCGGGCCTGCCAAAGAACAATGACAGCTGCAACCAAAAAATAGCCAGGCGTTGTGGTGGGCGCCTGTGGTCCCAGCTACTTGGGAGGCTGAGGCAGGAGACTCGCTTGAGCCCAGCAGTTGGAGGTTGCTGTGAGCTGTTGATGCCAGGGCGCTCTACCCAGAGGGACAGCTTGAGTCTCTGTCTCAAAAACAAACAAACAAACAAAAAAAGAACTGTGGTATAGCCACACCCATGACCTTTGCTAAGTAATAAAAAAGGAACAAAACTATTAATACATGCAACAATCTGGATGAACAGCCAGAGAATAATGTTGAGTGAAGAAAGCCAGCCTCAAAAGGTTGCATATTACATGATATAATTTATGTAACATTCTATAAGTAACAAACTTGTGGAAACGAAGAACAGACTAATGGTTGCCTGTGATTAAGGAGGGGTTAAGGATGGAAGGGAAGGGGGTGTGACAGAAACAGGACAACATGAAGGAGCCCTGTGGTATGGAAATGTCCTGCATCTTGACTTTATCAACATCAATAACTGGCTGTGAGGCCAAGGGGGCAGTGGCTCATGTCTATAATCCTAGATTCTGAGAGGCTGAGACAGGAGGCTCACTTGAGGCCAGGAGTTCAAGATAGCCTCAGCAATACAGCAAGACCTCATCACTACAAAATATAGATAAATTAACTGGCTGTGATGGCACACATCTGTAGTTCCAGCTGCCTGAGAGGCTGAGGCAAGAGGATCTCATGGACCCAGGAGTTAGAGGTTGCAGTAAGCTATAATGATGCCCCTGCACTCTACCCAAGCAATGGAGAAAAACAAAAAAATCCTGCTGTGATACCGTAGTATAGTTTCAAAGGCTGTTATCACTGGAGGAAAATGAGTAAGGGGTACAGGTAATTCCTCTGTATTGTCCCTTACAACTGCATGTGAAGAATCTATAATTATCTCAAAATTTAAAAGGTTATAAAATAAACACCTTAAAAAGAAAAAGTTCTTTACCTACTAATCCTACAATACCTCGTCTGTGTTCCTCATCGGCTCTATCCTCACTTCCACATCATTCAAATAAAATTCCATCTTTGTCATGATTTATTTGAATCTTATTTTACTAGCCAATACCACTTGAATAAAATCACACTTGCTAAAGTTGATGAAGACCTTCCAACTGAAAAACAAAACTGAGGCTTGCTAGTTTTCCATTTACTACCCTCTTAACTATTCGATACTGATAAATACTCCTCTTCCATAAAAATTTACTCCTACCTCCTTTGCTTCTCTAACAATAACCTTTCTAATTCTCGTGTCTCTTGAACTGCTTCTTGGGGAGTGAAGATAGGGAGAGGAGGCTTTTTCTTTTAACTTCCAAATGCCGGCTTCAATCAGGTTACAAATGTTCTTCATGTCCCATATGTAATATGTTCCCAGGTTGCTCTCATTTTCAGCCATTCCAACTTCATGTAATACAGTATAAGCCTCCCTAATCCAGATCTGATTCACATAAATCATTTCTAGATCAATATGAATGTTTCAAAACTCAACATATTCTAGACTGGACTATTCCCACCAAAATAATGTTTTCTTATATTGCTCTTAATTGTTCCACCATCCTTATAATCATTCTAGCCAGGAAATTGGGAGTTATCCTATGCCAGGCATCCTCAAACTACGGCCCATGGGCCACATGTGGCCCGCCTAGGACATTTATCCAGCTCACCAGGTGTTTTTGCTGCCACTGCCTATCCTACTTAGCAGCCGACTCATCCCAGGGCCTGTAGTCCGGCCCTCCGACGGTCTGAGGGACAGTGAACTGGCCCCCTGTTTAAAGAGTCTGAGGACCCCTGTGACCTTTCCTTCCTTAACCTCCACATCTAGTAAATTTCTAGGTCCTTTCAATTCTTCTGAATCTCTCTTAGCTTTGACCTTCCCCTGCTGGTTTCTTTGTCCAATTCTTTTTTTTTGGAGACAGTCTTAAGCTGTTGCCCTGGGTAGAGTGCAGGGACGTCATAGCTCACAGCAACCTACAACTTGGGCTCAAGTGAGCCTCTTGCCTCAGTTTTTCTATTTTAGTGGAGATGAGGTCTCACTTTTGCTCAAGCTGGTCTCGAACTCATGAGCTCAAGCAATCCATCCACCTTGGTCTCCCAGAGTGCCAGGATTATAAGTGTGAGCCACCACACCCGGCCCCTTCTTTGTCCAATTCTAATCATATATTAGCTGGTTTATCTCGAAGTCTGGCTCCCTTCCATTCTTCATACTGTTTACAGGTTAATTTTACTAAAACACAAATTTGATCTTATTGCTATAGTGCTTAAATTTCTCCCATGGGTTCACACTGCCTTCAGAAAAAGATCTAAATTTCTTGGTGAACATGCATTACCTTTAAACCTCTACCTACTGGATTCCATCCTCACCTCCTGCAGCTAGCCCTTCTCTGCTACTTCCTAGTCTCACTCAGCCATTCAGCATTTCCTGATTTTACCTTCCAACAACTTCTTGGCTCTTCCTAGAATCCAGCCTCCCGGGTGCCTGGCCCTGCTGACCCTTCATCACACAGCTCTAGTACTTCCTCTCGAAAGGCCTTGCTCTCATCCTTCAATGGCCTTTTGTAAATATGCAATAGACTTTACAGCATTAATAATACTGATTTCCTTTTTAATCTCTTTTACCATCCTAAATATTCCTGAAACACAAGGACTATGTCTTATTTTATCTCTGTATCCTTGATGCCTAATGAGTAGAGCATATACACTGAATACGTTTTTACAAACTGAATGTGTACTCAGTATTTTATTCAAACTCTTTCAAATAAATGGGAGCACATTTCTAACATGTTTCCTTTTAATGACAATTCATCTTAATTCGGTTTTTTTTTCTTTTTCTTTTTTTTAAGAGATGGGATCCCACTGTCACCCAGGCTCGAGTGCAGTGGCACAATTTCCTGGGCTCAAGCAATCCTCCTGCCTCAGCCTCCCCATAGCTGAGCTAACAGGTGCATACCACCATGCCTGGCTCTTTGACTCATAATTTTTAGGAAACATTCTCAAATTGCACAAATTCCTTATTCTGATCTAGACTGACCCCTCTGCCCAAATAAGACCATTGTACTTACTGTATTTATCTAACATATTTATGACTGGTCTTTTTGGTCTTTCATATCACAATGTAAACATAAGAAGGACAAAGATTTGTATAATTCGTAATGACTTAGGACACAATTATAGGAACTTTACATTATAAATACAAGTTGAGTCTTAAAAATGAACAGAAAAGAGGACAACTCAAGAAGAAAAACCAAGTTGGTTACTAGAGATCAAATTAGGCTATTAAAAGTTAAGAATTGGCTCGGCGCCTATAGCTCAACCAGGCTAAGGCGCCAGCCACGTACTCCTAAGGTGGCGGGTTCGAATCCCCAGCCCGGACCCGCCAAAACAACAATGACGGCTGCAACCAAAAAATAGCCAGGCGTTGTGGCGGGCGCCTGTGGTCCCAGCTACTTGGGAGGCGGAGGCAAGAGACTCGCTTGAGCCCAGGAGTTGGAGGTTGCTGTGAGCTGTAATGCCACGGCACTCTACCCAGGGGGACAGCTTGAGACTCTGTCTCAAAAAAAAAAAAAAAAAAGTTAAGAATTGAATTACAACTTAAATTTCACCTTAGAAACAAAATTAATACAACCCAAACATTTGTATTCCCATATTAATCTCAAATTAAAAAAACAAAAAGCGAACAGAAAACCTCCTACAACTTGAACTTTACCTTAGAAACAAAAACAATGCAACCTAAACATTTGTACCCTCATATTAATCTGAAATTTAAAAAAGAAATCTTAAGCATTGAAAATAACATCCTCCTTTAAAGTAGCACAGATACTGTGGTTTAGCCCTGACAGCCTTCCAAACTGACCTCAGTCTTGTCGAACACTCTCCTTCTTCTTTAGCTACCCAGCCGATGTC